CTGGCTAGTCTAGAGGCTGATTGAAAGATCGTCGTAAGTCATACTTTAAATAGGAAGTTTAGATACAGAAATTATAGATTTCCTCTTCAATAGATTCTTCTCATACTCATCAATGGCTTTCCCAGGGATCTTAACTCTAATATCGAAGATTTCCCATCATCTCTCTCTCTTATTAACCTACTCTTCTTAGCTGGATTTTCTGCATTTTGGCAAATGCATCTCCCACACTGACTGACTGGCTGAATGGAAAAATTGTCCATCATGTTCCTTCGCTGGCCATGCAACTTTTTCCCCAAAGGCCACTTGGCCCCAAATCCTGACTGCCGAATGCTGTTGGCCCTCTGAGGGGCTTAACTGCAAAATCATGCAGAAAATGTTCAAACTCAGGAGGGAAGGGGCGAAAGAGGAGATTCGGATTGGGCTTAAACTGGCGAACAAAGCCACTTAACTGATGCGCTGACTAGCCTTGTAGGTTTATATAGTTTGTGGCTGGTAGTTGGTAGTTGGTAGTTGGCGGACTCTAGTCTTCGGCTCCATCTCGGACCCTGAGAGCCAAAAGGCTGGAAAATCTCTTTTTGTGTATTTGTATCTCTGGCTATGTGTTGGTGCAAGTTGTTTACACGCCGCACTCGAGTGCTTCCTAGGAAAATGACGACGACGACTACGACGACGACTGAGACGACTGCGACGACTGCGACTACGACGAGTGCAACTGCAGGCTGAAGTGGAGTGGTCCAGGTTGCATTTGGCTGATCATGCAGCTGGTTAAAAATTTTCAGACGGGGTTGGGGGAGAGGACTGAGCTCCTTTCAATGCCTGCCACTTGTTGTCATCAATTTCTGGCTCTCTGTTTATCTGTTTATCCAGCGGGGCCACTTGCAGTTCGGTTGCACTTCGCTGGAAACAGCATTTTGGGTTGGGAAAGAAAACCCTAAATAGGAAAACCACGCGTATCATCCGTCCATATTTGTTTTCGTTTCGTTTCGTTTCGTTTCGTTGAAACCCAAACTTGAAGTTTTCTAATTAAAAAATTATTAAGAAAATAATAGCTGCTCATTCTCGTTTTTCCATCTAGTTTTCCTTCTCACTTTTTCGGCATACTCATTGTCACATAATTAACACTTGATATAGCAATTTGTGTATGGTTTTTTTTTTTTGGTGGGGGGAATTTTCCCGCAGTTTGAAAGAAATGTGCGAAAAACTATCGAATTTCGTTGGCCCGAAAAGGGGCAGGAAATGTGCAAGGATTTGTATCGGAAGTGCGTACTTGCAGGACTCAATAATATCGCTGAAAATATCTCAAAGACCTCCTGCCTCTCACAAAGATTCTTATCAAGGCTGCTGCTATTTTTTTAGGTTTTTCTTTGTGCGTTTTCTTTTTTCTTTTTTTGTGATTTCTTTGTGGTAATTACGATGTGGCTTTCAAAATTAAGGAGATTGATTTACACGGCCGACAAGGACACGCGTTTCAGGGATTTATTTACAGATTTCCATAATTTATTTTGTATTTATCATGAAGAAACTTCGGAAGAAACTTTCACATTGGCCAAGTTAACTTGTTAATTGCTTAATCAATGGAAATTACTGCTAAACACTCTCCGAAATGCCGTTCATCCGCTGGGAAACCCAATTAGGGAAACCAATTTGTCTGCAATTATTTGTCATTAAGACAAAATCCAGTTTCCAGAGCGAAGGGAAAATGGCCCATGACTAAGGTGGCGCGACAACAATGGCCAAGAAAGAGGCGCTGACAACGAAATGGCTCACAGGCAAGGCGACTCAGCACTCAGCGACAAATGTGTGAAGGAAAATAATACAAAAAAAAATAAAAGAAAACACAAGACAAATATGGGAAAAGAGAAAGAAAAACAGTAACAGTTTGCAGGTTACAAAAGGATAAGAAACATACGCCAAGGATCTTTCGAGTAAATATTTATTAGAGCCGAGCAGGCCGAGATGGCCGAGATGGCTGAGAAGGCCGAGGTGAAAAGAGAGAGCTCCTCAATGGCCACTCAAATTAAGGCTAACAACGTGCAAGTAGCAATTTTGCCCAAGAAAAGAGGAGGAAAACTGAAAGGATGCAGCAGCAGCAGCAGCAGCAGCACACCTCCGCCCTTCGCCCTCCTTTATTTTCTCGATGTTACAGCTGCGGTTAACCACTCGAGTCAATTTATTTTGTACACAATTTGCCTCGAAAAACTAACGCCCCGTGTCCTGCTGATCCAGGATCTGGTAACCAAGAAAGGACACGGCGTTTGTTGCCTTTTTTACAGCTCGGCCCAAGGAGCCTCGGGGTCTCAGGACTAAGGACTCTGGTCTCAGGTCTCAACTTCTGGTGTTGTGCAAACAAAGTGCGAGCGGACCTTCGGCAAATAGACCACGATGGGCATGACTAACAAGAACAAGTTGAGAAGGATATGGCCGGGATGTGTCCAGGATGTGCACGGCGAGAAATTGAATGCAAGTTAGTGAAAGGATTTGGTAGGAAATTGGGTAAAAGTGAAACTTCATATTCTAAATTTGAATTTGATTTCGCTTGTCATTTGATTAGTTGGCCATCTGATATGCTAGTTAGTACAAGCAGTTAAGGAAGCAGCAGAGATTAAGCTAAGTGGAGGGGGATAGAATTTATCATTTTTACAGTTTTCAGTTTTTGGAAAACTCACAAATTGCCGGATTTTCGCGCAGCGCACAGGTGACTAGCACTAGAAGTAGAGCCAGCTAAAGAGGCGACCCCTTTAAAGTGGCTGGCAGCAGCAGCAGTAGCAGCAGCAGCGACAGGAGAGGCAGCTACCGGAAAGGTCAACAATGACGGAATGACAATGACAGAATGCCAGAATGATAGAATGACGGACTGACTGAATGACAAACTGGGAAGCCAAGAAACCACACAAAGCCACAGCGGAATGACAAATAAACAGATGTAAAGTGTGAAAATTTAACAAATTAAGTGCGTGTAACTCTCGGATACAATAGCAACAGCTATGAGAGAGTGCTGTGTGTGTGTGGGTGTGGAAAATGTGCGGAAAACAGGAGATGGGCAATTCAGGTGAAAATTGTGCGGAGGCGCGGCCATTCGGACTGAGAAAATGAGTTCTGCTGCTTAAGAAGGCAAGACATGTGTGAGAGTTGTAGATCTGCAATAATAAGCCAGCAAAGTAAACAAAATGATTTTGAATTAAAGGAAAATTAAGGGAAAATTAAGACAAAATATTAGAAATGCAATCACAAAGTTGAAATTTCCATGTTAGATAGAAGATTTTGTGATTTTAAGAGGTGAAAATCAAGATAAAATCTTGGAAATAAAATCAGAAGTTGAAAATTTGTATAAAGAAAATAATATTTTGGGCAAATGGGTTAGCCATTTGTAAAGGCTAACTAATAAAGAAGATTTCCCTTGAGTTACTGTTAACCAATGCTTAGTTACTAACTAGTTATAGTTAGGACTTTCCTTCAGGCCATAGCCACCCATTCCCTGCCGCTTTAATCTCCCTCTCAATGAAGCTCCACTGGCTATCGCATTTTAATGGCTGCTCGTGCCAACTGGAGTTTGCTAATTTCACTGAAAATTATGCGCTTAATTAGCGATACACACACACACATCCAGCCTCACACACATACAGAGATAGAGAGAGAGACAGAGACCGACCGAAATCGTGCCTCGAGTGAAGTGTGTGTGAGATTTCACACTTTGCTGACAGGACGGCTGCCGCTCACTCACTGCCACGCCCCTACCCTCTAAGCCTCCCTCATTTCAGTGTGTGCACTTGGAGAAATAATTATTAATATTATTGGGAAATTTATAAGCTTTTTTATGGGATTTTTAAGAGCTAAATTGGGGTGGAAAATGATAGTTAGGAAATCTCGCATAAGGTTTAAGTGGGATCAAAAACCTTTATGGTTAAGACAAGTAACTAAAGATTAAAATAGATCACTAGTTCTAGCTTAATCAGAGGTTAAGAAGTGGAGGTTGCCCTCCCCCAGACCTTATATTGCTTATTCCCAAGAAATCTTTACCCTTTAAGCGCTCAACCTTTAAGCTTCTCTTTTCTCCGAGTGCACGAGTGTTATTAATAAGCTCGGACCCCGTTACCTCTCCCCTTGCCCGCATCGCCGCCCTTTGTCCTGTGCTTAATCGTGTCGTTTCATTGTTTTAACTCCGATTGAGGACGCAACTCGATTGCCAACCCCTTTGAGCTTATTAGTTGCGCCTACGGGTGGGCCAAGGGACGCCAGAGGGCGAAGGACCCAGAAGCTCGGAACTTGAAATGCAGGAGACAGATGCGGTTGCCACTTGGCTGCACCCGTACAGCAGCAGATGCAACAGAGTGCTCAAAAGCTTATACATGTAAGGCTCCTTGCCCCGATCTCCCCCTAATTAGCCAACCTCTCACCGCTTTTGTAGCCCAATTGCAGGTAAAATATGTTTTTTTTTTGCTTGATTATTGTTGGTAACAAAGGCTAAGTCTAGGGAGGGCTGTCTTGGACAACAAACAAATAGCAAACGATTTGGGAATATCATTTTAATATTGGAAGCAAAGAGAAAAGAAGAAGCTTGGTTATGGTCAAAACCCTAGTAAGGAGAGTGTGAAAATCTTAAGTTGAACTCTTAGAAAGAAGATCAGTTAATTAGTTAATTTAGATTATGTGTTAACGCAGAGGTTTATCACGAAGTCATTTAAATAGGTTTTTTAATGATAAAACACAGAACCTAAAAGGAAAAACCTTTCTAAGCATGGAATTTAAGAACAAAGACCACGGAAACTACAGAACTTTCTCCTTTATTCGAAGATATTAACCTCCACTAAGAAGTAAAAGAAGATCTAACTTCTGTGTTGAAAGAAGCTAAAAGCAAAGTCAACCCTTGCCATAAAACCGATCTCTATATCTCATTATCAGTTTTAAAGTTCTTAAAATAAACTTTAGCTAACGGTATACATATATATCGGATATCTCAGACCCTACAGATCGTAATTCCCTTGTTCAGAACCCAAACTCACCTGCAAACTGGGCGCCAAAGTGTTGCTGGAAGTGGCCACGGAACTCGTGTGGTGTACTGAAGCCGGGCGGCAGGAATCCCCGGAGATAGGCGGCCGCCGCCAGGGTGGTCATATGATGGTGATGGGCTGCAGCCGCATTCCCAGGATCCGCTGCAGCAGCATAGCCGGCGGCGGCATAGAAGTTGGCCGGATTGAAGACGGGCAATTGGCAGTGGGCGGCCGCCGCTGCTGCAGCGGCTGCAGCTGCTGACAATCTGGAGACATCGGGCGATATGGAACGAGAGTCCCGGAGATTGTCCAAAGCCTGCTGTTGCTGCTGCTGTTGTTGTTGTTGTTGCTGCTGCTGCTGGAGCTGCTGTTGTTGTTGTTGCTGCTGCTGCTGTTGTTGTCCGGCGGATAGCGAGCCATTGGCGGGCGTATTCGCGGTGGGCGGTGGAGTGGCAGCCGGCGAGGGAGGCGCCTCCGAGGGCGTGGCACTGGCACTATTCTGCTGCTGATAGGCGCCCAGGCCCAAGATCTCCTGAATGGCAAAGGGCGTTCGCATCTTGGTGGCCTGCATTTTTGCCGTCGGTACTTTAGCACTTTGAACTTATCGTTTGGGTTCTTAGTTTGTTTTTCGTTTTCGTTTTCGTTTTTGATTTCGTTTTTGGTTTTCGTTGAGTGAAAAGTTGGGTTTCCCAAGTTTCTATTTATTGCACACTTTCATGGCGACTGGCAGAGACACACGCACACGCATACACAGGAAAAAAAGTTCACTCACGCACTTAGGGTTCAGATATCTGCACACATATATATATACATATATATATATATGTGTTTTTTAGTGGATTTGCTTTTATGTGTGTTTTTTGAGCGCTGGAGCGTTCGGTGCGGCGTTCGAAAACGAACTGAAATTGAAAAGCGAATTGCACGCCAGCAAAAGCGTCGCTTTGAACGTCGCTGTCGGCGCCGACTTCGCTGCTAGCTTCGCTGCCGGCGTCTGTGCTCGCTCCCACACACGCTGGCCAACGTGCAGCGCCATCTTTGCGGGCGTAAACAGGATGGCAATAGTAGTGTCATACTGTTGTCTCACTCAGTTATTCGCCTTTGCCCCCTGAGACTTCCAATGCTGAGGGGTTAACTTCGTTCTTGCCTTGTCTTGCTTGTGGTTCGCCTATGGCTGCCTCTCTTTCCGCCCTGGAAGTAGGCACACGGACACTGTAAGCACTGTCCATGTGAGCTGTAGTGGTGTGCGTGGTAATTACACGGCAGTTCATTTCGCTCTCAGGTTTTTGGGTCTTTCGATTTCAGTTTGTTTTGCGACGCCAATGATGCTATATGTCCCTGTATATATGTACATAACTGTATTTGTTTATCTGTGTGCGAGTGAGAGAGTGCGTGTGCAATTGGAATTATCTTTTTGTTGTTTTTTGTTGTTGTTGTTCAGTTAATAAAGATTAAAGTTAAGATGGGCTAACAGGAATGAGAAGCAATAATATTGATGATTTCTAAAAACGAAAATTCCCAAATAAAAACCCAAAAATTCCCGCCAAAATGTTTGGCTTTTGAGTTGAATTTCTAATGGCCCAATTAGTAACTTTAACTAAACTTAAGTGGCCTGATTTGCTGTTGTTTATGCATTAAAAATGTTAAACCATATTAAGTTATGAAAGTAACTTCCTGCTTAAAAACGTTGATGAAAGTTTTAATTTTTATCTAAAAACCTTTTAAACTCTTTTTGATAAGTTTTTTCTTAATTTTTGTTATTATTTTAAAACCAGATTAGTTTAAAATTTAAGTAAAGAAAAGGGAAATTAATAGCCTAACTATGAAAATCGAATTGGAAACTCACCAAAAATGTCTTCGCTCTCACTTTACACTCACTCATTTTCACAGTATTGGGCCGCTCGCTCTCCCTCTTGATTTTCTCCTCTCTGAACGTTAAGTTTTTCCTGGAAGTTTTAAGTCCCCTGCGCTTTTCCGCCTTTCCGCCTTTCCGCCTTTCCGCTTGCCGCTTTCCACGTTTGTCCCCAAATTGCTGGCATTGTTCAGGCCAAAGTTGGTCATGTTAATTAAGCTTCGCCTCGCTTTCCCTCTGGCCATAGCCATCTCTTTCTTATCGATTAGCTGCGGCTGCATGTCGTACTCTCTTTCCCTGCACTCCCGACTGCAGTTGCAAACATTAATTAGTCGCATTGCATAACAATTGCATAATCAATATGCCATTTCAATTAATTGCTTGGTTAGCAATTAGTCAGCCCACAAAGCCAACCGCCTCCCACATTTTTCCGGGGTCTATCTGTGGGCTAGTTTAAGTAATTAGCACTTAGTAACTGAAAGTACACGGCGAAAAATGTCTAGGATAAAGAGTTATCCTTTGAGAGTTACTTTTAGGTATATAAGTTGAATAGTTTTGGGTTATCTCTTAGTAAATATGTTTAAATTTTTGATTATTTTGGCATCTATAAACTATGTTTAGAAACTTTAACAACTTAAACAGCTGTTAAACAGAAACTAGTAAGAAGATTCCGTATAGCTTCAAGGTTAAACCTTCCATTCTTTAACAGCTTCTTATTGTTAATACTTTTCTTTATGTAATTTATATAATATATCATTCAGGTACTTATAAACATATATACAAGCTCCGTCTTTCATCTCAACTCCTTCCCAGCTGCATTAATAAAACCCATTAAAAGTGACAATTTTGATGGCATTTTTCCGCTTTAATCTTTGCATTTGCAGTCTCAAGTGGCCTTGTAAAGTGGGCCTTGAAAGAAGGAAAGAACTTAAGTTATTTAATATTTTAAAAACAATCAAAATTGAGCCACCATTTATGTAACTATCTTAGAATCGAAAAATATCCATTAAAAACTAGCAAAAAACCTGATATTCCTTTTCCTATCAACCTTTTTCGGCTGTAAGACCCCAATTTCCCCCGTAATTGGTTTGCAGTCTCACATCCGCACAACCTACCCATCTACCCACATGACTTTCCAGCGAAACACAGAAGTGGTCAGGACACAAAAGTTCGATAAAAGGAGTTTCCGTTTCGCATTGTCCTCGAGGACCCGAGCATTATTTCATATTTATAATGTAATCTGCACTTGAGCCTCAAAGAGACGGCGCATAAATCACGAATACAAATGGAGGCGGGCTTGGCGACTATTCTATATACATATATATATTCAGATATATATATATATATGGCATATTCCATATGCAGAACGTCCACTTCATGGGCTAAAAGCCTTTGTGCTCTTTAGGCTTTCTTTTTTTTTTTATATTTAGTATTTTTTCAGCGCCGCCTTTTCTGTTTGATGTTCGACGGCCACTCGAGATGCATTTGGAATAAGTCGTTTTCACATATTCATTTTTCCTTCCAGCGGGTGTGGGCGCTGCAGATCCTTGATGGGAACGGGGGAATGGGAAATTCGCTTCGATTATTGGTTGATTGATCCTTTGATTCCTGCCCCCCACACCCGGACGGACAACCCTCTCTCATTAGGCTAAAAGCCTTCCAAGCTGGCCAACTAATTAACCGAGAAGGTGAAAGGAACATCTGCCAGCGATTGCAGCGCTTTTTGGCTTTTTGTTTTTGCTCACTTGTTTGGGGTCCCCGGGGGAATTGCCGCCTTGCCACCAGTCTCGATTCTCGATATTAACCAGCTAACCCAACCGCATATTAGCCCCCGTGTGGCATTGTTGTTGCTTAGCCAAAAAATAATAATAATAAAAAATGTAAGCTGGGCACAGCCATTTGACTAATGACAAAACCACAATCACTCCGCGGGATTTTTCTTTGTGTTTTGAGAGAGCTTGGGGCAGGGAAAACGATGTCCTTGAAGGCAGAAATGGCGATGTGATTCTGAAAAATACTCAAAGAGGTTTTTGATTTTAGATTTTGCTTTCTTAATTCTTGAATTAAGTTAAGTTTTAAGGCTTCTTTTGTAAACTTCTCTGTGTAGACCTCCTTTGGAGAGTCCTTTGCCCTGTGCTGTGAGCTAAAAAATAAGTTTTAAACTTAAAACCAAATCAAGATTTACCTAAACTTACAGCTAATCAAAGAGAAGGAGCAGAGCTAACGTTGTCCCCTTGAAACACAGACTGTACTTGCTGAATCCTTGTAGCTGCCTGCGTCATAGTATCCTGGCCATTGTTCTGCAGCAGCGACTCCTTTTCGTTGTCCTGGCTGACACGCTCCCAAATGGCGACGTCGCTTCGAGCCACTTGGAAATCGTTAATTTCATAATTACATGTTTCATGCACACGCTACGAACTCCGAACTCCAAAATGGGGAAGTCCGGGTCGCAGAAGCACAAGTATATATATGTGTGTGTGTGTGTGGCTCTGTTTGTGGATGTGTGAGTGGCACATAAGTGGCAGCCAGCCAGAAAGCCAACACCATTTTGGCCATAATTTAGTTTTGCCCGTCCATTAGCAGTTGAGGCCACACGAAGTGGGCGGTTGGGACGGGGCCATTGTTGCAATGCCACTCAGGGGGAAATCAGCACCAGGATTTTGGGTAGGTGACCAGGGGGCAAGCGGAAGGGAGTTAGGGTCGCCTTGTTGAGGACGAAGTGGCCTCGAAGGAGCGGCCACAACGAGGCAGCTACACAGAGAGAAAAGGCAGCCAAATTGTAAAGATCTTTTGAGAATATATCTCTGAAATTTATGTTTCAGGATCATAATTCTATATAGTTTATGATTTTCCAGATTTTTCAGATTTTCCTTTACCAAGACGTTAAAATTGTTACAAATTTGAAGGGAAAACTGCTTTTGAATCTGAAAAATGTCTCGAAATTCGATAATAAATCCCTTTTTCCGAGTGCCTCAGAGTGAGGCAGTGAGGGAGAGAGAGAGAGGGAAGAAGTGTGGTAGAAAGAGGCAGAAACAGGGGCAGCGGCAACAGAAGAAGCGAAAGAAGGACGAGTGGATAATTATTAATAATTATCGCATTGACGTGTTTTCGTTCTCAGTTTTCGTTTTTTTTTCTTCTTCCCTGCGAGGGTGTGTGTGAGTGTGTGAGTGTGTGCGTGTGGTACATATATGTAACAGTGTAAGTGTAAGTGGTTTACATAATTGGTCAACTTCTGCTTTCCCCTTACCCTTACCCCTACCCTTATCCCGCTCCTTGGCCACTTGGCTTGTTCTTGGATTTCTTTTTTTTTCTTTTTAAGATTTCTTTGACTCGACGAGGGGTTGAAACCCAAAAATGGGGAAGGGGTTAACTCAGTTTTAGGGGGTAAAGAAGGAATTTTAAAAATACTATTTGAAAATGTGAAAGATTGTTAGAAATCTAAGATATATTCCTCAGTTTCTTTATCTTTCGAATGAAAAACAAACCAAGTTAATGGTATTAACTGATTATTATTAAATTTGTGGCTTACATTCCTCTTTCCCCTGGCCTAATCAGTTGGCCTGGCCCCCTTTGCAGAAGAGCAGGAAAAACCTTGAAAGATGGACCTTCACCCCTTAGGGCTTAAACCCAAACCCTGACTGACTCCATGTTTGCCTCGCAGCTCATTAAGCTGCAGGCGTATTAAGCGAATTCCGCTTTTTTCAATTATTTTTGTTTTTTTTTTAGCAGCAACAACATTTGAATGGCATTCAAAAACGCTCATAATTCAAAATTAATCCCACCCTGGTCTTGTCTCTCTGCTCCTTTGTGGACATTGCGCCTAAATGAGCATCTCACTCATAAGCGATTTGAATGAATGCGAATCTGTGAATCGCAGACTTCAAAAGGTGGCTGAAAGAGGCGGGCTCACTTTCTGCCGACGTGGCCTTTTCTTTTTGACCATTTAAGTCGACGTTACACTCCTACTCCTTCCCCGCCCACCTATCCTATTTAAAATCTATCTAAAGGTTTATTTTCTTAATTACGCAGCATTTAAATGGGCGGCCTCTGCGAATTATGTGATTTCAGAATTTTTCAATTAAAAGAGCTCAAAGCAAATGTCCATAGCATAGTAGACATTTTGCTGACATTTGTTGAGAGTTTTCCGTGTTATTAGATTCGTTTTTTTTTGTAGGGAT